ATCTTACACTTTGTGAAAACTCGATTATTATTAATCAGTTCTTGTTTAGTAAATCAGTCTGAAAACAAGATCAAAAAGACTTTTTGGCTGATATAAGGTTTTAAAACTTGGTTAGATTGACAGTTTTTGTAGTGTAGAAGAAATGTACACTAAAGTTTTCTATATTTATAGCAAGTGGAAGTCATAAAGTTGTTTATCCTGTTAAATCATTCAGTCCGGTATTAGTGTTACTTTCCCCAAACTCAAATTCATTTATTGTTACTGCTTTTAAACTCAAGCAGCCAGTAACATTTCTTTAACGCTTCATGATTTATTTATTGCACTTCTCTGTTTTCTGCGTTGTGTGTCTAATCTGGATATTTTTTATTTTGTCTTTAAAGGTGCAGTGTGACATCTGCAACCCTTTCAGAAGTGTCTGCGTGGCTGCTTATATTGAAAATGAGACTTTTTGGCATAAATGTGAACTGTTCAAAACAAAATGTCTGTAAGTTTCTTGCAAAACATCTGTCAGAGTTGTAAAGTAACTGAGTACAAACACTTTGTTACTGTACTTAAGTAGAAATTTTGGTTCTCTCTACTTTACTTGAGTAATTATTTTTCAGCGTACTTTTTACTTTTACTCATTACACTTTTACACAATTATCTGTACTTTCTACTCACTACATTTTTTTTAAAAGGTAAGAACTAGAAAGTAATTACTCCTACTTTACTCTGAGTTATTACTTAAGAAAATCCTCTCCTGATAAACTGTGTCTCCTATAGAGTGAATTTAATTGTGTTTGGATGAGAAGTATAAATATATACCATTCTGACACACTATTAGCTTGTACACAACACATCACAGCTGCACGCTGTTAGAAAATATATTTTTGGAGAAGTCACCTCCCAATAAATGTCCTTTTGTAAAATCTAACTGCTCACTTTTACTCAGTACTTTAACTTTTAATACTTAAGTAGATTTACTGTCAGAAATTTACTTTTGATACTTAAGTACAAAAAATATCAGATACTTTAAGACTTTTACTCAAGTAATATTTTAACTTTTACCAAAGTATTTTATGATAAGATACTTGTACTTTTACTCAAGTATCACTTTAAGGTACTTTATACAACACTGCATCTGTGTAATTGATGTGATCTTAATTTTAAATGGTTTTTGATGCTTAAAAGAATACAAAAGTATCAAAGCACCAACCACACCAGCAGGTGAAGGAAATGCAATTTATGTTTCTCAATAAACCTGAAAAAGACGAAGAAGAAGAATAGAAATTACTGTGGACAAAATGAAACCATTGAACATTTTTTCTTTTGTTTTAAGTTTTTTTTTATTAAACAACAAAGAACACACAAAATAATACAATGTACAAACAATAAGACGTATTTCAAACAAACTTGCATATAAGAGAAAAGG